CCACCCCACCATGTCGGACCATGTGACCAGATCCCACCAATGGACTGTGAGAAGTGAAGCTGGGTGAGTTGCCCCTGGCCCGCGCAGGGGAGAGTGGGCTGAGTCGTCCCAGCGCTCTCTTGCAGGGTGGACATGAGGGAGTCCTCTTGTGGGGACAGCAGAGCAGCCTGAATGAGAGTCACACGAGAGGGCCTCTGACCTGCCGGGTCCTCTGAACACGCGCAGGGATCGGTTACTGCTGCCTATAACTCAGCCTGTCCCAACGAATACCAACTCAGTTCTGAAATGTTACCCATTTTGATGTAATGAAATTTTCTGAAGGAAAGCAGGAGGGCAAACAAGTAGTTACTTTGGCTTCTGCAGCACTGTGGATTGAGAACACGATGGACTGGGGAGCCTGGCCTGACCCAGGACTACTTGCACCTTTTCTTTTACTGTGGAATCGTAGCCTAAGGGGTCCCTTTCCACTCCGGTGGGGAAGCCCACTGAGCCTGAGGCCGCCCTGCTCAGTTCGTTTCTTCCATCATTTTCAAGATTTTAAGTAAGTTCTACATCTACAGGGAAGGCATACACATCCGATTGGCCAGATGAGGGGACACTGGGCAAAGTTTTCAATTACTAAATTACTAAATTTCTAAAGTAAGAGTTTCCTTTTATAAGTCATGAGTACATTCTACATCCATAAATAATACATTCTATTTTACTGACATCTTCTCGGTACTCTAGGAGGAGGATTAAATGGCTCAAATATCTAAGTCACACAGAAGTTATTCTGAAATGTTAATTTGAGTGTGTATAAGTATTATGTATATTTTAACAGTTGTATTTTAAAGGTAACTTTTATAATACTTGTCTAGTATTTCAGTTCATCATAATCAGACTGCCTTGCATTTTGTATATTAGCTATACAAGTATTTAAAGACAATCTTACGTGCCTTTAATCGTAGCCCACGTAATTACCACATACCTTACTTTATAGGATTTTTATTAGGGAATGCTTAGTGAAAGTTTCACTTTGCCTTTGCCTTAAAATTATATCCTTTTATAGCATGATGTAACTTTTATTAAGACTTTAGCATTTGTTTTTAATATGCTTACTTTTCCCCATTGTTAAATACTTTCCCTTCAGATTTAATTAAAATTTTGGGAGATAGACTAATAGTAACATGGTTATAATAGACAATACAAAAAAAAATTCAAAAAAAAAATTACTCACAAACCCATTCACCAGATGGCGCACCATTCTTTCCAAGTCCATATTCTGCTATATACAACTATCATGTTCATACTGTATAAAATATCCATATTCATAAGTAAACAACTATCCATAGTCATGCTGTATATAACTTTGTATCCTACTTCTTTCACTGCCTGTCATTGTCTTACAATTTTTAGAGGTTTCCTAGAATTCTAACATCGGTACTGTAATTTAAAGATTCCTGAGTATTTATTTCCAACTCTTCACTGTTCTAAACACTGTAATCTCACACATCACTTGTGACAGGCAGAAAAATGGCCCCCACACCAAAGAAGTCTACATCCTACACCCTGGAACCTGTAAAAACAGTTAGAAGGACTTTGAAGACGGGATAAATCAAGGACCTTGAAATGGGAGATGATCTGGGTGGGCCCAATCTAATCACATGGATTCCGAAATTAGGAGAATCTTTCCCGGTTAAGCTCATATTAGAGATGTGACAATGGAAGCAGTTACCAGAGAGATGCTACATTGCAGGCTTTGAAGATGGAGAAGGAGACCATGAGCAGAGGAACGTGGGTGGCCTCAAGAAGCTGGAGAGGTCAAGGGAGAAGGCCGATTCTCTCCTAGAGCCTCCACATGGGAATAAATACAGTGACACCGACATGCTTTTATACTGGTGAGACTTGCGTTGGATTTCTGACCTACAACACTGTAAGATGATAAATTTGTGTTGTTTTAAGCAACTAAGTTTGTGGGAATTTATTTTTTAAAGACTTTATTTGACAGAGAGAGAGAGAAACAGTGGGAGAGGGAAGACAAGCAGGAGGAGTGGGAGAGGGGAAAGTAGGCTTCCCGCTGAGCAGGGGGCCCGATGTGGGGTTCGATCCTAGAACCCCAGGGTCATGACCCGAGCTGAAGGCAGACGCTTAACCAACTGAGCTACCCAGGTGCCCCAAGTCTGTGGGAATTTTTAATGGCAGCAAGAGAAAACTAACATCTGATTTTTGTGCACATCTTTTACTATTTTTGTAGGAGCCGATTCCTAGAAGAGTCTTCAAGTTCCCTGATATACATTGCCAACAATTTTATAATCACATCAGCAACATGAAACATGCCTGCCTCACTTGCCCCCATCAACCCTCAGACTTCATTTCCTATGCATCCTATTGTTTCACTGAAATTGACAATAGTAATTATACCAAATAATTGCAGCCAGCCAAGGGTTTACTATCTAAACACTCATTTAATCCTCACAACTACTCTAGGAGGTATGTTACCACTGTTATCCCCATCTTACAGAAGAGAAAACTAAGGCATGGAGGAGCTAAGAATGTGGTGAAGTTGGAATTAGACCCCAGGAAGCCTGGCCCCAAAGGTCCAGCTCTTTGGTGAGCTCTCCATTCAAACTGAAGGTCCTGGAAGGCAGGCTCAGTCTACCCCTCTACCTCCTTGATTACTCAAGTGATTATCAAGTCTTCCCCAGTGTTACTGTAATCCGGGGTGACAACAAGTGGTCATGAAGAGCTCTTGGCATGGAGATTGACATCTCAAAGTTCACTCATATGTGAAGAATTGTGGTAACATTTTCTCCTCCGTTGGCGGCTTTGCTGGTGGCCCTCGCTTCTCTCTCAACCACAGAAGAACTGGATTATTCTTTATTAATTAAGACTCACTCCAACTGCCAGGTAATTGTAAGCCCTCTTCCCCTTTTCCTTTACACTCCCTACTATATACCAGATCCCGTAACAGGTGCTAGAGACAACAGGGAACCAGACAAGTGGGGAAAGCTATGTTGGGTCTGATGCTATGACACAGACCCTTAGCTGAGTCAGGAGTCCAAGCCATGATGCCCATGGGAGAACAAAGGAAGAGAAAGCCACGCCCCTTCCATTAGGGGCACGCCCCTTCCATTAGGGGCACACCCCTGAGTTGGCTTCTCATGCTTGTGCACATGTCACTCAGCCATTGATTTTGGTCTTAGGGCTAAAGATAATCTTCCAGTCAAAATGAAGACTTTCAGTTTTTCCTCATATGGAGTGAAATAAAAGTTTACTTTGGTTTCTCACATTTTCCTGATGGAGAATTGGGGGATGGATGAAAGTAGAAAAATAAAGTAGATCAGCAATCACACTGAACAGAATGTACTTTTAACATCTCCCTCCCTCTCCCCTGACAGTTTTGAATTTGATTCTGAAAATGCTTTGGGGCTTTTTCATCAACCTCAATTATTTTGTATGTAGGAAAATAAGACTTAATGCAAAACTTCCCATTTTAATCATTTTGAAGCGTGCAAGTCAGTGGCACGAAGGATGTCCATGTTGTCGTGCAACTGTCACCAACCATCCATCCATTTTCATCTTCCCCAACGGAAAGTGTACACATGAAACAACAACCCCCCCCCCCCCCCCTTCAGCCCCAGTCTGTGAATCCCCATCCTACTGTCTCTGTGAATCTGACCACCCTACAAACCTCATTCAAGAAGAATCAGACGGTAGCTGTCTTGTGACCAGCTTAGTTCACTGAGGGTCGAGTGTTCATGGTCCCTCCACGTTACGGCATGGATCAGAATCGTCTTCCTTTTTGAGGTTGAATATCCCATTCTGTGTATATATCATGTTTTGATTTTCCATCTGTCAATGAACAATTAGGTTGTTCTTACCTTTCAGCTATTGTAAACAATGTGGCTATAGACATGGGTATGTAAATATTTCTCTAAGTCCTTGCTTTCTATTCTTTTGGGTATATACCTAGAATCCAAATTATTTTAACATTATTCACCATTGGGGGTGGGAGGTCTGCTTTACCCAAATTAGGAACTTGGCCACCTGAGTAGTCTCTGGCAGCTGTGCATGCCGGGAAGCAGTCTCATGGAAGGGCAGTCCCAGGTCTGCAGTACGCCTGCCCTCCTTGTCCCAGCCCTCCCCCACCACACTCCTCCCCGCCCCTGCCCCGGCAGCCATGGCCAAGAGAACTCCAAAGCCAGCATACCCAGCACTCCACTCGAAACACTCTCCTACTAAATTTCCAATAAAGACAAAATGAAAAATCAGAAGTTTTTATTAAAAGTTAAAAATGTTTCCAAAGTTTACACATGCACACAGACTCTTTCACCATCTTATGGATTTCTAAAATCACTGACAAGCAGATACACACTGGCCTGGCAAACCTGCTTTGGTTACCTAACTCTCCTGTTGTTGCATTTGGAAAAAGCCTGCTCACTCAGGGGGGAAGCAAACACTTACCAGAATGTGCCCGCTGCTGCTGTTGCCCCCACACTGGCAGGACGGAGGGGAGGGAACATTCTCGCTCTGCTGAACAGGCAAGGCAGTGCTTGGTTCTCTGCTTCGCCCAGCTGCCATGACCACTGGGCCTGGAAAGAGCCACCGTCCACCCAGAGCAGGGTCTGTCCGGGCAGTGGAACAAGCTGCTTAGCGGGCGTCCCGATCCGGCTGCGCGGTGCAGTCCGTGGAGAACTTGAAGCCAAATCTTGGTGGCTCGAGCACTGGGTCAGTTCGATCAGAATCTCTGGGAATGTCACCAGATAAATGTTATTTTGGAAGTTCCCCGGGGGTGGGGGGGTGGGGGAAGGATTCTGATGCCCAAGGAGGGAGAACCATAGCAGTCCCTCCGTTCTCAACTCTTACCTTCTTAGAAGTCCCCCTTTTCCCAATTTAAAACATTTGGCATATCTGTCACCCTTCTTGAGTTATGAAGAAATTATGACATATGGATGCTGAAGTTCCTACCAGTGACTTGTAATGGTCAAAAAAAAAAAAAAACCAGAGCACCCAGATTTCATTAAAAAAATTTATTTTCATATAAAAGTGCCAAAATATCCACCAATGTCATAATCTATCTCAACAACCAGTTTACGCTAGTAATCAAAACACAAGCCTCTTTATTCACATTGTTTAAAAATCAAATTCTTTTCACACATTCCCACAGTAGCTTGAGTCTCTAGACAGTGGGAAGCTTGCATTCCTGTTTGCCGTGGTAGTCCATATGTCCAGGTTCATATAGGCACGAAACGGATTAAACCCTGGGTAGTATTCCTTGCACATGACAGCTTGATTTTCCATGTGAGTCGAATGTTCCGTGGTGGGACTGATGGGGCAGCAACTTTCATATACGTCACTTTGTGGGGCCCAGATGGAACCAAAAAGTCCAGACATTGGAGACAAGCTTCGGGTGCTTGTGAGGTAGGGCTGAGGTGTACATGAGGAGGGGGAAAAAGAGAAATTTTTAGAAATTTTAGAAAGGCAACATCAAAGTTGGACACCACAGTGCTACCCATCCAAGTCACTGGAAAGTCATTAAACTATTCTCAACCCTCTGGGTTGCCTCAAAGCCATTTTTCTCAGAGTATTGTGAAATCTTCATCTTCCTAGATAAACTTATTTTCAACCCAAGAAAGAACCCTTAGGTCAAATGCCCTTGATCTGTAAAACATGTCTTGAGTGGATGCCAGAGTGAGGAGGCATGGGCTCTTGGGTGCTGACAGGCAGGAAGCCCTCAGGACCCACTCATGGACCGGTGAGTGACCCTCTCTGAGCACAGAGGAAAATGTCAACAGGACCACAGAGACACAGCTGGGTCACAGAGGGCTTCCAAGCCCGAATTCAATTTTATCGACCCATCATTGCTCCTCCGTGTCCTCTGGGTGGCCTTTCTCTTCAGGGCAGCTAGACAACCCATGTCTGCGAGCCCCCACCTGTCTGACTACACCTAAGGCTCTTTCAGAGGGTGGCTAGCCTGGCTTCTGCGATTGAAAGGACACAAGCCAGGCTTTGGCAGATCTGAACCTGACCCTGAAGTAAAGTGAGACCAGGATTAAAGAAGGACCAGAAAGAACTTGGAGCTGCCCCGGGGTCACAGCACTGACCGGAGAATTGAGGAGACCTGCGTGTCCCCAGGCAGTCGGCATGTTGGGCGGGGGGCTCCAGGTAGATGGAGAGCTGTGATCCATAAAGTCTGTCTGAATTTCGGCAGGACAAGGGAAGCCATTGGGGTAATTCATGTTTTCTACAAAAAGTGGAAGACAACACAGGTAAACATTTTTACGGTGAGATCTGAATTCTCACGCTCAGGCCAAAAGTTTTCAAGGCCTTCCCATACCTCTGAGGTAAAGACCAGAGTAGTTTACACTGTCATTCTCAAGGTTAAAACTATTTAGCAGATAAGATAGGCTACCTGGGAAGCCCTCAGGAAGGAAGGTCCTTCCTCTGGGCTTGATGTTCTGTATTTGATGATTTGACAGACAGGCCTTCTAATCAAGACTCCTGCGCACTGGACCCGTGTCAGGATTCTTACCAGCCCTTAACATTTGCTTTTATTACCTTTTGGGCCGACCTCAGCTTCCTGCAACGTACACTGTATGGATACCAGAGCAATATGAAACCAGCACTTCTTAGCTAAGTAGGAAGGTATAGCTGTCCCTGCTTTAGCCACGGGAGATATGTTCCAGGACCCCCAGCGGATGCCTGAAGCCGCGGACCCTCCTGAACCCTATGTACGTTATGTTTTCTTCCTATACATAAATACCTGGGGTAAAGTGCAATTTATAAAGTGGGCACAGGAAGAGATTAACTAATAAAATATAAAATAACAACACACTGTAACAGAAGTTATGGGAATGTGCCTTCCTTTTCTTTCCCTCTCAGAGTATCCTGTACCACACCCACCCTTCTTGGGATGCTGAGAGATAGTAAACTGCCTACATGAGGAGGTGAGGGGAGGTGAAGGAAAGACCTTGTGACAGAGCATCAGGCTACTAGAGACCTTCCGACAACACATGAGCAGGAGATTCATCTGTTGTGGAAGGCAGCTGACTGCGGTAACCAAAACCACAGAAAACACAACCTGGGGTTAACGGGGAGCTGCTGTGATACACAGGAGCCTCCCAAGCCCGGGAAGGAAGTCACCACAACACCCCTGTGGTTAGCATGGAGCAAGGCAGGTATCAGACTCCAGTGAGCGCCATCTCCTCAGGCCACTTAGAGCTTCCCTGAACAGGTAGCCCCACTATGAGAAACCGTGATCACTCTGTAATATATAAGAAGAACACTCTGCAGCTTATCAGGGAAATCTCACAGCTATTATTGTTTATCATTACCGATGCTTGAGCCCAAGCACCAGCCATTTCCCCCAGTTTCCCCTCCTGGCTCTTCACTCCATCTTTCTGCGGCACCACTCAGGGTCAGAAGAGTTGGACCCCGCTGAGGAATAAGCACGTGCGTGTTTCCACTTCACACAGGACTTGTCTGCCTGGAAAGTATAGCAAACATCTAAAGCCTCAGCCTCCCAAAGGATAATTTACAATCTTAGGTCCCTGGAAATCCAAGGGACCCAGGTCTACCAAATCCAAAGGACGAAATAGATCGGGGTTGCTTGCAGAAACTCCCAGACAGCCAGGCTGAGAGGTCTTTGTGAGGCCATCTGAATTTCACACGGCAGGCCTGCACAACTGGACCCACATGAAGCTACTCGGCAGCTGCCTGTAAGGTCATTCTCAAAGGTTCTCACTGTTAAAGGCGCATTTTTCTTTTTTTAAAAAAATTCAATGTAATTAACATACAGTGTATGATTAGTTTCAGGGGGAGAATTTAGTGATTCACCAGCTGCACATAACACCCAGTGCTCATCACATCACACACTCTCCTTAATGCCATCACCCATTCACCCCATCCCCCCAGCGACTTCCCCTCCAGCAGCCCTCAGTTGGTTTCCTAGAGTTAAGAGTCTTCATGGTTTGTCTCTCTCTCTGATTTCGTCTTATTTTTCCTTCTCTTCCCCTATGCTCATCTGTTTTGTTTTTAAAGGCACATTCCTAGCAGACATAGGACAACCAAAAACGAAGCTCATGAATATGGAGAATGGACTGGGTTCTCAGAGGCAGGGGTCGGGGTGGAGGGGAGTGGGATGTATGCAAAATGGGCAAAGGTGCTTAAACGGTACAAACTCCCTGTGATAAGATGAGTCAGGACTGGAGATATAATGTAAGGTCGTGGTGAGCAGAGTTATTAACGATATCCTCTCATGTATTTGTAAAATGCTCTAAGAGAGACCTTAAAAGTTTTCCTCACAAGAGAGAACATTTGTGACCATGTTCGAGGATGGGTGATGACTAGACTAGACTGCAGCCGTCACTTCCCAGTACGTACTAAAGGCCAATCATTATGTCGTACACCTAAAACTAATACAACGTTCTGTGTCAATTACATCTAAGTCGCTTTAAGAAAGTACGTTCTTCTGCAGTTAATGCCTCAGGCCCACACGCTTCCTGCTTTGACTTTTCTGAGTAAAAGAACGGCATCAGATCGTTCAAGTAGCTTTTACCTTCCGGAAAGGCATTATAATCATTCAGTTCCAACGGACAGTACACGCTGGGGAATTGGCCTTCACAGGCTGCGCTCCAGTCAATGAAACTGCTATAAAACACAAGAGGTCTCGTTTCAGAAACAGGACGTCAAAAGACCGTGTAAAGAAAGAGGAAAACGATTTTGTGACCCAGCACCCTAATCACTGCTCATCCCTCAGTTTTGGAAGAGAAAAGATGTACTTTCTTGAGTCATGGGATCAAAGACCTCCCGACCGACCAAACGCTCCCCACCAATGACTCAGCCTGGTAGGATGGACGGCTCAGGCGAGGAGCTTGCTTCCTTGGTCACCTGGGTGGGCTAACTCTAACCCAAGGCAGATCCAAGGCTGTGGCTTTTGGAGCACTCTGGGAGAGGACTGCACTACCCCGAGGCTCTTTGGCCAACACCTGCAGGTACTGCTCTAAAGTGCCCCACCCCCCAGCAGGGCCGTTGTTTTTCCAGGGGGTGGGGGGGAACCACAACCATCAAGACTGATTCACAACAGATACTTTGATCACAGTTACAAACTGGAGTCTCATGACAGATAGAAAAGAGTAAATACCACTGTAATAAAGGAACCAAAAAAGAAAACTTCAGATTCTGTGATGAGACAGAGATGCCAACATTTTCTCACGTTCTCACTGCTGAACGTCTTTGACTTCCAACAGCGAATTAAAGAAATAGCTCGAGTGGAACGGCCTTTCAATACGCAAACTATCTGATCTTTCTTAACGTTTTAAATGTGTTCATGATGGATGCCATGGAAAAGTGGAAAGCACTGCTCCATCAGGTGGTAGGAATTGTGAGTGACTGCGTTTTCAAACCAGCCTCTATTAACAGACCATCTTTTCAGCCTGAGGAAAGTGATGATGTGGTCAACAGCTCTGCTCTTCTTTCCTTTCATGTTTCTCTCCCTCCTGCTTTGTTATTTTCTAAGACATCACAGTGCAACTCCAAGAGGCAGATGGAGACATCCAGCTAAGGTGCACTGGGGAAGGAAGCCTGGCCCCCAGTTTTGTAAGGCCCACCTAACAGACTGAACTCCAATCCCCTCGGCAAGTCCTTGGGCTAAGCAAGGCAATGACCAGAGAAGGGAGTCCGTACCTATTATGCATGGGAGCCGGGCCCTGCATCACGCCAGGCACGCTGTTCTCCACAGCACAGTTGAAGCTGCTTGTCACACACACAGGCTGCGTGGGCCACAGGTCTCCAGCTGGGTAAAGACCTGAGGAAGAGAACAAGTCCTCTCAATCTACCCTCTTCCCTCCTCAGCCCGCATCCCACCCTTCCTACAACATTCCTTCTCTACTTCTAGAAAACACTTCCTGCAAGTCTCCCACACATGCTGACCATTTCTGCCTTTCCTGATCCCTTTTGGGATATACTTATAGGATATACAGCAGGAAGATGGGGTCTAAGGAGAATGCCACTGTTCCACTGACAATTCAACCATAGCAAGTCCAAAATGTATCCAAAGAACGGCACAGAAGCCCATGCTCTCAAAGTCGGCTCCAAGATGGAGGGCAGTTTTCACATCTAGCAGAATTTATACATGCAAAAACAAGTGTATTAGAGCTCAGTGATGCCATCGGGAGTAAGCACCAGGCTGATCTTGCCACAATCCCTGACCTTAGCCATGCGGGAAGCAGGCACTAGAAGAGACAGGAGATGCAAGAGCCTCGCCTACCAGGCAGAGGCAGTGCAGTCAGAGGCCCCTGATGACACGGGCCCTGAGGGCCGGTGCACGGAAGCCCAGTGACATGGCTTGGACCAGCGGGCCCAGTCCCTGCCCCCAACCTACTCGTCTCCACAAGCTCCCTGTCCTGCCATGTGGAGGAACCCCTGGCTTGTGTCTGGAGTGAGAGTCTGCCCTACCTTTATCTTCTTCAACACCTGTAGGCCCGGCAGGAAGGCTGGGACAGGGAGGTTCTGCATACTGTGGCAGATCATTCATGTTTCTGTGGAGAAAGCCAGAAAATGAAGATCTACGATTTCTTCTGTAAAAGGATGTACCAACTCTATTCAACCATGTCTTGAGTTTTACAGGAATTCTTCCGTCAAGAAACATAAATGCTAGAGACACAAAGGCACATGGCCAGAAAAGGGTTAAGGTTACCAAATTTCCAAGACCCAGCAAAGCCTGTTTTCAATAAACAACAAAATCAGTGTAACTGAGGCCCACCGCAGGTTCCCGTCTGCCCAGCACCAGCCGGCAGCTGGCGTGAGTCTTGAGGTAGCGCAGGCCCCTGCTTGCAGACAGCCCGCAGACAGCTTGCCTCGCCCCCTCTGCTGAACCTCCTTTTTCACACGTGCATCTACTTAATGGTAACGACAGCCCCCGTCCTCTCACCATGTGACTGGAGCCCACGGAAATGTGATCACGTTCTCCCTCGAAAACCCTCTGCTACTGCATCCCTTCCTCTTGTCCTGCTCAGTAAGAGCCACTTGCCTATTCTGTCTGATGGGGCAGCAACCATCACACAGTGGAGTCCTAACGATGTCAGTACCTGGCTGGGTCCTGTAAAACTCCCTGCATCATCAGGGCTCCATTTTATTTCAAGTCCCAGAGGAGGGGACGATGCCCATCCCTACAATAACTGCTGTTTCTCTTTCTGCTTTCAGGAATGAGATGGGTTCTTTTTTTTTTTTTTTTTTCTTTTTAAGATTTTATTTATTTGTATGAGAGAGAGCACCGGCACTCGAGCTAGGGGAGGGGCAGAGGAAGAAGGACAAGCAGACTCCCCGCTGAGCCTGAGCCTGGAGCCTAATGGAGGCCCAATGCGGAATTCGATCCTGGGACCCTGAGATCATGACCTGAGCTGAAGGCAGACGCTTTACCGACTGTGCCATCTAGGCCCCCCAGAAAGGGGATGTGTTCTAATGTGGCTATATCACTGGCAGCAATGGGGCTCCCAGAGACATCTCCACAAGGAACATATGTACCCAGAAGGATCCCGCTTGCTGAATTAATAGCAAAATTGGAAGTTACTTTCTTTCTTAAAAATCTTTCCTATTTCCACTGCTAACTAACTACAAAGCAGCAGCACAATGACAGAAAAAGCATTAAGTATATAAAACGCACTGTCAAAACAAGAGAGTAAGAAACTTACGTGGGATTACAGATGTTAGGAGAAAGATTCAAGGAGATGGGAGTTTCTGAAGAAAAGTCGTTTTGCGGAACACTGTCTCCTGTGTAAAAGCAAAAACAATTATCACAAGGTTTTGTAAGTGTAATTCAACTGTACTATGTGTTAAAAGTGCACACTGCTAATATCACTAACCCCAAATGAGCGACTTCTCACTTCTGACTGATTTTCATATTCAGTAATTTCACTTTTTTAAAAATCTTTATTATATTTCTCTTTTCATTGAAAACTTACTAAAAACTCAACATTTAAATCTATGAGTTTCGGATTCACAGTGTTTTAATTGTGGAAACAAGCTGAAACCATTAATATTATGTAAGTTTCTCATAGGGATTTTTCTGATAAAAGAGATCTTGCAATATAAATTGACCCCTGCAGTTTTTAAGTGACACTGTAGGAAGTCTATGGAAGTAAACATAAGTTTAGAGAAGAAACATGGAAGTCATCTGCAATCATGCTGCCGTTCAGCATGAGGTGTATTTCCTTACAAACTCTTTTGTGTGTACACATGTGTGGAAAGCTGGGGTCATGCTTCATACATACTTTGTCTTTACGGTCCCTTACACCATTAATTATACTGGGGACATTTTCCCGATAGTACATAACCTTCAGACAACTTACAAACTACACGTTAAGCCATTGTACAGCAACACCATCAATAATTATTATCATCTTGCTCCCGTTGGCCTTCCTCAAGCTAAAGCAGCACTTCTATTCTTTGTTACTGAGGACTGATTTTTAAAAACCTTGAGTTATGCTTTGTCTGGCAACCTTTGTCTTCAGTGGTGGATGGAGCTGTGCTTGGTGTAGGCTGTGAAAACCAAGCTCCCTCAGGCCACATGCATCCCCGCTCTCCCAGCACGTGGGCCTGCCTGCCTTCATCTGAGTCTGTGCGTGTCTCCTTGTGGGTGATGGCAGCGTCCTCCAGAGGGGGCAGGACTGCTGTGTTTCTTGGGCACCAATATCTTATCTTTTTGTGCCTAAAGCACAGTACCCAGTAATAAACAGTGAGTATCAGTGATATTAAAATTTTATGGAGGATCATTAAGAAAACAATGTCTCAAAGTCTCCTGGGGGGTGGGGAAGCTGATAATGAAACACAGCCTGAAGACACACGTGGGTGCCTCGTGTAGGTTTTTTATGGCTATTGTGCCCCATCTCTCAGATAAGACCTTCTTTTATTGGTCTCACCACTGGAAGGAGACAGAGAAGAGAGACAGCCCCGAGGCTGCCAAAGGGAGCTGTTGGTGGCCTGAAGCAGCCTGTCTGGGAGAGAAGGCAGGGTTTCTGGGTGGTGAGCAAACTGGGGTGTGGAACAAGCTGCCAACCCCTCTGAGCCCAGGGCCACTGGCTCTCCCTCTCAAGGCTGTCTGGGAGCCATGCCAGTGTGACAGGCAAATGAAGGCCTCACACTTGTGAGCTTCTCAATCTCAACACCGTTTCCTCACACAAAGACTAAGTTTACTATTTTGAAAACAACAGTGAAAAGGAATGAACTCCATCTTTATATGGTCATGGAGGTTAAAAAAACACCGAGTGAAAGAAGCAAGATGCAGAATGATATACTGAAGTATGATTTCCTTTATGTAAGTCACAAACGTTCTATACTCTGTTGATAGACGTATGCAGGTAAACAAAGTATGGACTAAAAGAATACATGCCAAGTTCATGAGAGTGGACAGTGATTCTCTTGAGGAGGCCAAAGTGGGACAAACTATAAGGATTAAAAAAAAAAAAACCAATGAATGGGTATTATAGAAGACCAATGAATCACAGACCTGTACCCATGAAACAAACAATACATTCTAGGTTAATTAATTGAATTTAAATTTTAAAAAATAAAAAAAAGAGGGTAAATATAACAAAAGTAAGTTAATTCTTTGAATTTTCCCAAATCTTCAAATTTCTCAAAAATAAGAGAGGACATCGATGTTCATAGCAGCATTGTTCAAAGAGCTAAAATGTGGAAACACCCCAAGTGGTTATCAACAGATGAATGGATAATTTAAATGCTGCATGTACCTGCGATGGAATATTACTGGGCCTTAAAAAGAAATGACGGAGGAACCTTGAAGAAATTACACTAAGTGAAATGAGCCAGATACAAAAGGACAACCACTGTGTGATTCTACTTAGCAGAGTAATCACTGGAGACAGGAAGACAGGAGCTAGGAAGTGGTGGAGAGGCTTCAGGGGCTGGGGGAGTGGGGACCGGATGGCCCTTATTTAAAGGTGTGGAGTCTGTCTGGGCTGATGAGAAGATCCAGGAATGGATGGTGGTGGTGGTTACACATCAGGAGTGCTCTGAACGCCACTGAATGGTGCGCTTAAAAATGGTAAATTCTGTTACAACTATTTTACCATAATAAAAATGTGCAAGTACTAAAACAAATGTGGATGTTCTTTGAACCAGTTCAATGACAGACACGATGACGATGATGACCATGATGATGATGATGGGATGCAGAGGGGAGAAAAAGGAAGGAGGAAAAAACAAGAGAGTGAATCAAATCCACAGCTAAGTCAATACTCCAGTCAGCGGTCCTGCGTGGGCTCCAGGCTTGGAAGGCAGATCCAGGCCTGGTACGGGGCTCAGGGGCAGGGCGGGAGGTGGCCAGCGGGGAGGGCTGCTTGGAGGGCCTGGGCGGCCCCTAGGACTCACCAGCTGGCAGGAAGTGCGGAGGGCCCACCGCAGGCTTCTTGTCCCCATCAGAGCTGCTGCTGCTCCAGCTGCCCCAGCTGCCCCGGCTGGCCCGCACACTGCCTGAGGAGCTGCCGCAGTCCGAGCTGGAGTCAGAGCAAGGCTTTTCCACACACTTCTTCCCAGGCTTTGGGTAGTAGCTCTCTGTAGGAAGGCAGAGAGACACCACGTTCATTTAAACAATTTTCCTCTAGCTGCCATGTCTCCTCAAAGGAGAGAGGTGACATTATGACAGAGGCCACATTCAGCTTCGGGGTTGGCTCCCTCTGCTCATCCAGGGAGAAGGAAGAAGTTACCTGAGACCAATGAGGGGACCTGAAGGGACGGTGGGTGATGAGCTCTGTGTACTCTGCCTAAGGGATGGACACTCCTACCTGTCCGGGGCTCAGGCCGTCCATATCAATGATAACCATGATTTAACGATGGTTCTGGAAATAAACACTCCAGGGAGGCAAACAGCTGTTCAACCAGATTGGAAATTTATAGGTAATATCCCCCTCGCTTTTATGAAGATTTCCACGAAGAGCTTCCAAGTATTATTTATGTGTGGGTACAAAGAACTTCCAGTAAGACCAAAAAGGCACAGGTGTGTCAAGGGAATGAATGAGAGGACAGAGAGAGAAATTCACTAACTCTGTCAGCTTGTGTGTCTGCCAGCCTGCTCGCACTGATGCAGTCGTGTGTCTGGAGACACAGGTGCTAGCCGGGAGGATGACAACTTCCCCACCACCTCTTCCACATGTACAGTCAGTTTCAATGGCCCTTGAGCCTCCCACCATTCTCTGCCCTACCTTGGACCTAGCTCTGGGGGCCCTCTACCTCCCACTCCCAGAGACACTGCCCAGCCGTTCTTGGGTGGGCCAGCAGCCTGGTCTATAGGAACCACCTGGCTCAGGTGTGTGAGAAGACAGTTCTCTCCTGGTCAACCCCTGAGAGTAAGTAAGCACTGTGCCTTCAGCACTCTGCATGGGGAGAGTGGAGAATGGCCAGGTTTTAGGGGAAGGAGGAGGTAGGAGGAGGCAACACTCGAGGCTGTCCAGGTTCAAAACAATATCAGGTTTCCAGTCTCATCCTGACAGCTGTCCATTCGGGCTTCCATAAGCTAAGATGCCTGTAAAGTGATAATCTCCTCAACACCCACGGCTTTACACTGGATACTTCCTGGAGGAACCGAACTTCCGACAGAAGCATTCACTGCTCGCTGTAGTTACATACCTGCCTCTCCCTGTGAAGCCGGTAAGCTGTTTCCAATGCCAGCATCGGGCTTACAGACTTCCCCAGGATTTTCCTGTATACACCAGTTTCTGACATGGATGTCACCGCTCAGCTCAGACCTTTCAAATTCACTACACACAAGTTTTAATTCACTCTGCTCAGAAGGCCTACAAGAATCAAAAAGGATCACATCCGAATGTTATCATCCATCCATCCTTGATATCCAGGAGACTTATCAGAGCTGAAAATATGAACCTAGAACAACTCAAGACCTCTTTTCTTAGGGTTTTGGGGGAGAAGATACTGAGTTAGGGATAAAAAAAGACTAAGATTTTGCTGTTTTATTATTTTTTTTTAAAGATTTTACTGAAGCTGCTGACTGTTCGCCAGCAGCGCATACAACATGACAACGCCGAATCACTGGCTCTCAGCTCTGGGCTGCAGCCGCCTCGGGACCTAGGGACAGCCCCGTGAGCAGCACCGTATGTGCTTCCCATGCGGTGGTCCTTGCCTCCACGTGGGCTGCACTGCGGAGTCCCCTTCCCACGACAAGCGGCACTGTAGCAAGGTGGGGCCCCCCCTTCCACAGGAAGATTTGGGTCCACTAGAGAACAGTTGGGCAGAAACACGTGCAAATACCTAGCTGAGCCTACAAGAAAGAAATCCCCAGATGACAGAACTCAAAAGGAGCAAAAGCCAGAGCAGTGAGGATGGAGGGACTATTCAGGAGGAAAGAGGCTTTCAAGCCCAGAGGCTAGGTTTTAATTCCCTGCTGAAGGACAGTCACACACAGGAGTCAGGGAGACAGAACTGTTTTCCTAAATTAAACTATGGTTCTTGAAGGAGGCACTGTCAGTGCAAGAGACACCAGAAAAGCTCCATCCGTGGACTCAGGGAGGAAAAGGCAGGAGAAAGCATCTCTACTGGAGTCTCTCAACTTGGGCACATGTTGACTGTTTAGAAGTCTAACCCAAGAAATCAAAATTCAGAGACTATACCCCAGGTATAGTCTGGGGATTTGAAGTCCAAATGTGTGCACTACTGGGGCGCCTGGGTGGCTCAGTCAGCTGAGCATCTGCCTTCGGCTCAGGTCATGATCTCAGGGCCCTGGGATGGAGCCTGGAACAGGGGCAGGGCTCCCTGATCAGCGGCGAGTCTGCTTCTCCCTTCTTCTGTGACTCCCCCCACTCCCCAGCCACCACTTGTGCTCTCTAATAAGTAAATAAAATCTTTAAAAAAAATGTTGGTACTGCTAACCTGTTGAAAAAAAAAAAATACAGGGGATTCCCGCATAAACACTACCCAGTGCCTTCATTTTACTGATAAGCAAACAAAAGCTCAGGGAGATTGAGTGACCTAAGGAAGCAAGGTTTCCAAAGGAGAATACCAATTCCAGCTTGTCCCTTACCAACTGTGTAAGAACCTAGCTTCTGCGGGACTGAACCTCAGGTTCTGGGAATGGTGACTCTTCTCTTTCACTACATGGGCGAGGGTAACGCGGGAAAGGGGAGGCCTGCTGGCACCCAGTTGATCTCACCCTCCCTTGCCGCAGGAACGCTCCAGCCCTTCATGGGCCAGGTGAAAGCCGGGGCACAGAGGAGGCCTTGTGCTCTTTCTTTAAAACCTCCTAGAGCTTTGAGTGTTTTTTTAAGGTTAAAAACACAAAAAAATCTATTCACTTTCAGGTAGTTAATAATATAAAGGAAAATATAACCAGAATACATATTAATTTTAATAACAGACTTTTTCGTCAATATTCTATTCTCAGCATCCAACATCACCAAAATGAGACCAAAAGATAACAGCTAACAGTGTAAAATTATAGAATAAAAAAAAAGAGGAACATTTTAAAGGGACTGTAAAAATGAACACACCTCAAGACCTGAGCAGCACCCCGTTTCTTGTTTTTTCTACACGTTCGAGTTTTATTCCAACTTAAATTTTGTAAATTTCCTTCTTTTTTCTCCTGAAGCTTCTTCTTCCTATAAGGATCTTCTTGCTACAGAAAAAAAAGAAACCTTAAATAAAGGTTTTAACTGACTATGTACATTTAAAAAACTTTTTTTTTTAAACTTTTGAAGACCAACTCTATACAAATTCAGAATGTTCCAACACTGGTGAAAATGGAGACATACATTTCTCAATCTCCAGTCTGTTTTCATTCCCCTGCCTTCTCTACCTCTCTTCCCGGCAAAAAGAAGAAACAATTGTTGCCTACAGAATTCCAAAGGGGGCTAAAAAGGAAAAACATCTGTTAGCAATTTAGGGTCAGCTTGCTGTTAACTTCGGCAGCAATAAATTCTCCGACTTCACCTGTTAATTTGGTATGTGCAATTCACATGAGTTACTACGGAAGAAAAGTCATGTAAAAACTCAATGGAGGGATAATTCGTCCAGTGCTGTTTTTATTTGTTTACGGAAAAACTTTTGGAGACAGCCGATATCCATTGAGTGCGTCAAATAGTTTAAGCTTTTGTAAATAAGAATGTGTTTGATGTTTTTTAAATGTGGTTTTGCAAATCTTAATTTAGCATGAAATACATATATATCTATCCATTCTATGTGTACACAAATTTTAAAAAATTACATATGTATATATTCATGCATATTTATACATACACACACACACACACACACACACACACATAATTGTTTTTTTAATTTGGGCCTTTTCCTTTTATGTTAGGCACAGTCTGTTAACTGGCCCAAGGGGAGGAGAAGTCCCCTGCCCAAGAGCGTTCTGAAGCAGCTCCTGCCTTGGAGTCCTCTTATACTCTCCCTCGCTTCCTTCCACCCCTCTGCCCCTTTAAAGCTCAGGTACTGTTGTCGTGTGGGAGGTGGTACAGAGCTCACAAATGGAGACCCCGAAAATTGCATCCTTGGGGACCTCCCAGAAGCAAATCCCCCAACTCGGTGAGTATATTCCTACGGACCCTTAGGATTCACATTTCATAAAGAATAAAGCCCAGCTCATTTTACCTTCTCTTTTGAGAAGGTTGGTCCAAGAATCAGAGCTGGAAAATGCAGGATGTTCTAACATAAACTTGCCTGACACACATGACTTGGAAGAAGAAAAATAAGAGGTTTCAAATGCCTACATGTTACAGATCTGAGGTACCCAAAGCCTCAGGTATCTATTAAAGCAGGAGGCTTACTACAATACACACTAGACTGAAAATGAAATTGTACTGCACATGTGGCAGACTAATGGGATTTTCGTTTTTTCCTTAATACTCCTTTAGTTTCTCCCCCAGTATGTGTTAACTTTTTTCTGATTCTGAAGGTATTCTAAAAACAAGACAGGTTAAACACACAAAGCCCCATCTTACAGGATCTTAATGCTAACTGCTGAAGTTTGAGGCTCAACAAACACATTAATAACGTATGATCAGACATTCTCCAAAGTTAAACATTGGCTATCTACCATATTTATTCATATACTGGTCCTTGTGTATTTCCAGCTTTGGGAGAGAAAAGGATTCCCCTCTCCTGGGGCCAAGAAAGACTGTTCATCACAGAAGTCCTTGAGCCTTTCTGTCCATCGAGAGTCACATACAAAGAAAGGATCTGTTTCTAAGAGGGGTCAGAGAAAGAGTGAACTGGTCAGCGGCCGCTATGACACTTGGCTGCCTCTCTCCGATCAGTCTGGCGAGAGATGCCATTCTGTGCAAACTAGAGGGACTACAGAGATGTGGAACACGGCGGTCCGAGGCATGGCTGCTGTCTCTGAATATGAGCCAGAGTAATTACCCCAAGAGTGCTCAGCACGCTGGACTTGGGTGTGTGGAATGACCGAGAAGCAACATCCATGAGCAAACAAAGTGGGGCACAGAAAAGAGTGTGGACAAAAGGGGGAAGAGACAGAGGACATATAGAGGAATGAAAAACGAATGAATGGCCTTTGTGTGTGTGTGCACACGTGCGTGTGGTAGGGGAAAGCAAGGGAGGGAAGAACAGCAGTGAGGAAGAAGGGCCCCGGTTGGGCTCGAGGTGAACAGGCCAGCCCTGGACGTAGAGAAGGTGGGAGCGGGGGGGTGGGCAGGGGAGGACACCAGAGACTCAAAGCAAAAGACCGGTCAAGAAATGAAAGGGAGAATAAAAGGAGACTCTGGCTCTTTGCTTTTTGGAGGAGAGGGAGTTTCACAGAGGGGGAGGCGGGCCCAACCAGGGGAAGAGCCCAGGGAGAGTTGCAAGTAAGATTGCAGCTCTGAGGTCAAACAGCCTGGACTGAAGCTCACCCCACACTTTTTACTGGCTGTGCGATCTTGAGCAAGTCACTCAGCTTCTCTCTGCCTCCATTTCCTGCATCTTCTTCAATAGGCTGTTGTGAGAAGCAAACAACCTGACACAGAGCCAGCACTTTATAGAAGATGTCCTATTCTCACATTATTGAATTACTTGAATTCGTGAAGTTCTTGGAAATCCCTGCTAGAAGGAACAGTTTCACTGATTACGCGGCAGGCAAATAAAAAGATTTCCTGAAACTTCAATAAAAGCAAACAAAGAAATCAAAGGAGAGAAATCACTGACTCCACAAAACATTCTTCGAGCTGCTGCACAGAAGTAACAGCAAATAAAAAATAAGAGGGAAGGGCAGACGAAGGAAAAAAACCACACACTCCTTCTAATAGGCAGTCAATACCGTGCCATATGTTCTGACGGAAAATAAGAAAAACATGGGCAACAGAAAAGTGGGTTGACATGACATGCAAATTTGCAAAAGAAATATAAAAGGCTAAAAACCATGAAGACTCCATCCAAAATATTTAATAATAAAGTATGCTTTTAGGAAAGGAAAATTATAGATCAGCTTGTAGCTCATCTTTCCGTGCTGGTTTTAAAAAACACAAGTGTGTTTATACTGCCTATTTGTGTCTGTAGACACTAGGAGAGGTCTGGGGAGGGAGAGGGCTGGGGAGACAGGGCTCTTAACAGAGTCTGCCTCTGGGCAGCAAAAGTGGAACTGGGTAAGACATTCAGTTCCGAATTATAAAAAAGAAAGAAGGTAAGGAAGAAGGGTGTGAGGGAGAGAGATTTCAGGGGTAGGATTTTGGATGGATGATTTTTTTACTTATTTTTTTAGAATTTTGCAAAAAAGTAAAGGAAGGAAAGCACTCACTTTTCCCTGGTAAGAGATGCAAATTGGAATGAAAATGAAAATTTCTCTCATCATACTGACCAAGACTTTGCAAGGAACAATGCACAGTGCTGGTGGGAAGCCAGCGTTGTCCCACGGCATTGATGTGAATGAGAATTGGGACCACCTTTCCAGAAAGCAATCTGGGGCACGCAGGAAGACACTCTTCAATTCTACTTCTAGAAATCTCTAACAAGGATTCTTCAGGTATATAGGGAAGACTTAAGAACAATGTAAATCATCAGAGTGCTATTTATGAAAATAAAAAGCTGTAAATAACTTTAATGTCTGACCGCAAGAGAATGGTTTAGGATTAGAGCATAGTTAAATGATGGAATGTTATATAACCACTGGAAACAAAGTTCCCCTTGTTCTGAACATGAGAAAGTGTAGAATTATAACATTATTAAGAAAGCTACCTATACATAATGATGGTCCTGAGTTTTTTAAAAAGTTGCATGAAAAATACAGAAAAATGTACAAAGTATTTCATTTTGTATAGACTCTTCTCACCCCCTTTTCTATGCTTTTGTAATAATCATGAGTTCCTTTTCTGAGAAAGAAAAATCTGCTTTAAAAAAATAAAACAGCAGGGTTAAGGTTAAAATTTAGTTTGTAGCTCTCAAATCTGGGCTTCAACCTTCTTTGCCAATAAATCTAGCGGAATGTTTCCACATACTATAGACAGATTTATGTAATTTTCTAAGCTGCAAAGTTAGGCCCTAAGAATGTACAAGAAAAACAAACATTGAGTACTGCCCTTGGGAATGTGTTTATTGAGAACGATTTCTCCAAATGAACAATGAAATGGAAAGCATACTCGCAGGGTTTTAAAGAAGAGCTTTTAGCAAAACTGGGAGTGAGTCACAGAGACAGTAAAAAAAAAAAAAAAAAAAAGATGAGGTCTACGGTCCCCCAGATCCTCCAACTCCCCGCAGCTTTCCTGCAGGCTGGCTGCCATCTTTAGATGTACGGGCTCCGGACCAGAAAAGGAAGGAGGAGCTTACGCAATCACTGGGACTGTGTACAAGCCATGTCTGAGCTCCTGGGATAGAGAAAAGCCAAGGCCCGGGACCCCAAAGATCGAATGGTGACAATACCCAGAGAAGAAAACAACAGGAAGAAATTAAGAAACGTGCCTTGAGTCAGGGCACAAGCGTAGAGGGCTGAGTCTGGCGTGGGGGTGGGGTAGGAGGCGGTGTCTGAAGTCCAGGAATGGCGCCCACTCATGGAAGCACCACAGGGCAGGGCTTCTTGGGCCCCCCACCTCCTGAGGGCCCTCAGAAGGACCTGCGGACTTGGCGCGAGTCCTGGCTGCTCCGCCCAGCATGCAGGCCGTCAGCCACCGCACGGTCACATCTCAGGGCTGGTTTCCATCTCACGGCTGGTTTCCATCTCACAGCAGGGCCACATGGAAGTTTTGAAGTCCCTGGCAAGAGGCTGCTGAGGTTCACTTCTTTACTTCACCCATTCCCTCCTCCCCCAAATTCACAGACTTGCTTTCTGCTCTGAAGAGCATGGCCCTTCATAGTCTCAAGGGCCTCGCTTTCTGTACATCTGCTACACCTGCACCCTCAGGCCACCTGCAGCTTCACCACCACCCAGCATCATGCTCAGGCCCCGCTCTCCCTGTGCACACACACCGCAGAGAACTCGGTGCTGCCTCTCAGTTCTAACCTCCACGGCTCCCACATCTCAAGCTCTAGGCCCAAGTTTGCCATGTAAGACCCAGTTCTCTGGTTCCGTAACTCCCGCTGTTGGTCGCAATCACACAGTCATTCCCTTTGGACTGACCCCTTGTCAGCGCTTGGTACTTGAGCTACTCCAAGCATTTATCACGTTAACTCAGCCGTTCTCCCAACCCTAGGAGGTAGGCATGCTCTTAGTACCCTCATGTGTCAGATAAGGAAACTGCAGCATTAAGTAACTCACCCAATGTTCCAGAGCAAATAAATGACGACCAGGATTCAAACCCAACAAGTCTGGCTGCAAAGTCCATGCTCTTAACATGCAACACGACTTTGGTAAACAGAAAAATGTACTCCTTGTGTAAGTCAGAATTCTCCATCTTCTCATTAGCTGGACTTAAAACTTAGTTATTTTTGCAAACAGTTATGTAAGAGAAGATAGTTCCTCTCCTTATGCAATTAGGGACAGGGAAATCCTGTTAGTTTTTCTTCTAGACTCTTACCTACTCTTCCTGTCCTTCCCCCTTGCTCCTGCCCAAGCGCAGCCTTACGTCACACCTCCCAGTAGAGTAACAGCCTCCTTGTTAGAAGAGAGCTGGTGTCCATTCCTGCCCCCTCCAGCCCAGCCTCCAAAACGTTCACACTGATCCTCCAAAAATCCATTATTCACACATTCATTCAAGCATTTACAAAACTGCGCTGTATAATCTCTGTAATAGGCATTCTGCCCATCTTTGAAAACCTGAATTGAAAAACATTATTATGACCTTCAAGAAAATCTCAGCCTCAAGGCTGTTTTCCAATTTTTACCCACCCTCACTCCATCCACCCCCCAGTCCAGAAACCTTCCCTACTCCCTGTCCTTTGCACCAGAGTCCCCTAAACTGGCCACCCTGAAGCCAAATCTTCCAAAAAGATGTTCTGTTTGGACACACGTGCTTTTAAGACTGGGACTCTGAAGTTCCTTAGCAGACAAGCAACCATGCTCTGGTTCTCTACAGACATCGTCACTTCCGACTCTTGGGCTTGCCGAGTTCACTGTCAGCGCTTCCAGCCGAGAAAGAGCGGAGAAGGTCCAAACTTGAAATTGGTGAGCCAAGGCCTTTGCCATTGGGAATGACTCCCACTCTTCCCTCACATTACTCCTGACTGAGCCTCTTCCCAAAGATGATTTCCTACTCCTCCTGATTATGCCATGGGGCTCAGTGGGGCCACTGCCCACCTTCCCTTCTCTGCCTGTCCGCATTTCTTCCTCCTCTAGGAGCTTCCTGTGCCCGCTGCAGGCTCACCTGACTTTTCGCTCTCTGAAATCCCTTCCACTCTGTACTGATTGGGGCACTTAACTACTGGACATGTCTTGTCCTTAAAAGACTACAAATTCCCAGTTTGAGATGTCTAGGATATATTTATTTTGCATCATTTTCATGTTATTTAAATGAAAAATTGGTGTTTGTTATAAAGTTTAAGCAAAAATACAGAAATATAAAGAAGGAAAAAGAGCACTGCAAACACCACTACTCAGAATAACCACAGTCTGCCACTGATTTTTTGGCAGATCTTGTTTTTGCCATCTCTCTATGAACCTACAGACACGTTTAGATGGCAAGACAGATGATGGGAATAATTTATAATACTGGGACGACGTATTATTATTTTTTTTAGTATATGTGCTGCTGAAGCGAACACGACAATGTATTATTTTTAAATAAAAGTTTAATGTTCAGTTTTATTTGAATTTAACATAAGAAACTGAAGTAGAATCCAGGGAACTGCCAACTTTCAAATAATTGTTTCTTCTCCACATGCTATATTAGTGCCTTAAGGATCTCTCTAAGGTTAGGCAAAAGACCATGAAAGACATTTTCCCGTTTTCACCCTGTTAAATGATATGTTCAGTTTTACACAGTATTGACTCTCTACCAAGAAAAATAGAATTAAAACTCATTGTCACCTACCATTCAATACCACCTCCTGTTTCTGCAGCTTATGTTACTTTTTTGCTTTATTAAAGTTGTAATATATGCAATCTGTTCTGCAATTATAATTGCCAACTGTTTCGTCTTAGATCTGGATATAAAATGGAGAGAAATCTCAACAACAGACCACTAACACAACTTCTGTAGTCCTGGGTCTTTATTTTTATATCTGTCTTGGTCAGCTAAATTTCATTAACTTCATTTTTTAAGAAAGGCTCATGATGAGTTCACTTGTGTTTAAGGATGCCTCTTCCTTGCTGCCTTTGTACTTGAGTGTTTCCTTGGCTGAAATATTCCTGTTCACATTTTTTATTCTCTGAATGGTATGGCTCCACTGTTCCCTGGATCAGATGTTTCCACGAAGTCGGAGTGAGCCTGAGTGGGTGTTTCTTCATCTTCCTAACTTTGCACCATTGTTTATGTTTTAAGATTGGTAATTTAGCCAGGCTGTGCCTATATCCATTATGACATATCAATTTTTCCTCTATATACAGTGTGCCCTTCCATTCCATAAATTCAGTTCTGCTCTCCTACCAGGACAGTATTCTTCTACTACCTCTCTGAATACCTTCAGACCCATTTGTTGGGCCATTTACTGAAACATTCATTATTCTTACATTGGACTGCTTTGTCTTTCTTTGTCCCATATCTAAATGCTTCCAGCTCTGCAGTTTTTTCCTTCACAATCACCCTGATGATCTCAAAGCCTTTCTCAGGGTCAGCAATTCCATTTTTGGCAGCTGTCTGTAAAATGTCCTTTGGGTCTTCATTTAGTTACTTAGCTTTATAAGATCTCTTTTAATCTCATCCTAGAATCTTAATTTGCCTTTTAAAAAAACTCTTATTTTATTGAGTACATTATCTGTAGTATAAAGTATTCTCAAAGTTAGGCTTTCTTCTAGATTAGGATCTTTCCCTGTCTCCCGTGTTCTACTCCTTTCATTCACTTTTACTCGGCGCGCGCGCGCGTGTGTGTGTAGTACACGGTATGTATCAATATCAGCATAGTTAGAATCCTATTTTTTTTCACTGGGCTTATACTAATACATGAATACCTCTGTTCTGATGTAAACTAGATAAATTCTCCTAAATACCTTTCCCACCTTGATTGTGGACCTGTCTGCTTTCACCTTCGAGATACAGGGCTCGGTTCTGCTCTCCAGCACAGTGTGCAACTCTGTGTCCAACTATGCGCTCTCTTCTGAGATTCTGTTGTACTAAGGCCCACTCACCTGAGCCAGACAGGCATTCCTCTCCTATGCATTTGGCTTATGCTTCCAACTCAGCAAGAGCAGGCCCTAAAATGTGTGTTGGGTGACAACTGGAGAGAAGAGACAGGTGATCTGCTTCTACTCCACCATCTTTGCCAGGAGGTAACCCATTTGCTTAAGAACAGTTTCCTTTGAGAATAAAAGCTATCTGATGTTACTATAAATTATTTCAGTATCTCCTATATAATTAGAAGATAAATAAAACTTTCCAAGCACCTCAAACTCACAATTTATAAATACAGATTCAAATGCATGATAACTAGCCCCCTCTGAGAGGTATGAAATACACATGTACAATTACTAGACCGATAACTGCACTCTCAGCCCTAAATATGGGTTTTGTTCTAAGAGGCACAAGAAAAAGGAATACAGACCTCGACTGAAGGTACATTCTGTTTCTCAAAACAAATGTCTTCTTTCGATGCTTTGTGAATCTTCTTTTCTGAGGAAGACTTTGTGTCAGCCTTCTTCAAACTTTCACAGTTGTCTACTTCATTCTTGACAGGCACTTGCTGGTTATTCCCTTAAATAAATAAAAATGATTGAATCTCTAGCTAATTATTTCCATTCATGTTTCCATAATTAAATCTCTTTCCTACACCAAGCCATCTACCCTAGTGATATTTAGATTTGAGGATTGTTCCTGACATTCATGATGTTCTAGGTATGTTTACCAGTAAAAATGTGCTTATCTGAAGAGTTCTACAAACAGTCTTTAAAAGAGGTCAAGGAAAAAAGGTGAGGAGGTACCCCATTATTCACAGCACCATTATTCATAACAACCGAAAGGTAGAAACAACCCAAATGTCCATGGATGGATGGAGAGAAGTATAGCAATGTGGTACACATAAAATGGAATACCACTCAGCCTTAAAGAGGAACAAATCAGTGCCCAACACCATGACTATACTTAACACTACTGAACTGGACACTCAAAAATGACAGAGATGGAAAAGACAAAGCAATGAGATTCTGAGACATGCCACAACATGGATGAACCCAGAAGACATTATGCTAAGTGAAATGAGCCAGTCCCCAAAAGACCAACATTGAATGTTTCCACTTGTTTGAAGGAGCTAGAGTCATCAGAGAGATGAAGAGTAGAATGGTGGTTACCAGGGGCTGGGGGGAGGAAATACAAATACTTACTATTTAATGGGTACAGAGTTTCTTTTTGGGATGGCAAAAAGGTGCTGAAAATGGATGATGGTAATGGCTGTACAACACTGTGAATGTGCTTCATGCCACTGAGCTTTATGGTTACAATGGCAAATTTTATGTTATGTCTATTTTATCACAATTTTTTTTTAAAGTTGGAGGGGGGAGAGGGGCTAAGGACTTGCCTTCTAGTAATGACTACATGACTACATAGCTACAAATTAGTTTTCAAAGTAAATCTCAAGCTGAGATTCACTGAGCTGCTTCGGTTTCCTGATTTATAAGATGCAAATGCCACCTTCTCTGCCTACTCTGACTGTTACAAAGATGGAACCAGAGGACATATACACGGAAAGGGCCCCATCAAAAACAAAGGACCTATTTCCGGGCAGGCCCTCTTTCCAAAGTCTGTGCTCACCTGCCCTGGGTGACCAGTGCCTACAAGCTGACAATGACCAGCAGGCCAATCACATGGCAAAAGCTGGTGCAGGTAGAAACTTCACCTGAAAACAATGTTCTCCCGCTTTCCTTTCAAGTGACTTCACTCATCAGTGTATTTCTTCTTCGATCCCTTACTTCAAAATAAAGTCAGATAAACTTTGACCCCACCCCACCCCACAGTAACTGGCTTCAGGGTCCTAATAGGAAACAAAGTATTGCAACACCTGCTCCTTTTTTCTTTAACTGAGAATTCCCTTACCATACCTGTGCAGTCTAAGAAAGTTTAGATGACCACAGTACAAAGATTTCACAGCAAAGCAGGCTGCAGGCTCTGGTGAGATGCCCGCCTGACTGGACCTTCCGCAGAGGCTCCAATCTGGCCCTGCTTGGGGCCCTGGGGTGGGGAAGGTCTCTGCCCACAGAATGAAAGCAGTCAAATCCCCTCCAATTCTGAAACTCCGAAGCCGACCTCACTCAAAGCAAGATCCATACATTTTGCCAATAACACTGACAAGTAAGCACACTTTTATTTTGTTAATGGAAAATTGTGTAAGTATTACGTAACTATAAAAACACTGGGAAGCATTAATTCCTCTATGACACAAATTGGGTGTTAAGACACCTACAGAGGAAAATATCCACCATGATGAAGTGGTAAAGGAAAGAGCCAAGAGCCAAAGTGACAGGGTCCGAAACAGAAAAATAAATCATAACTAAGGATATCTCTTTGGATTTTGGAAACCATACATATGAAACAGAACACATATATTCTCCCCCAAAATGTGCCACTAAATTTCCTAGATTCATGAAAAAATGTATTTCCTTGAGCTTTTTTCAGGCCAAGAACAGCAGTAAAAGTATTAATCATTAAACTTTCTCAGGAAGGACCTAAACTTAATATCCAATACTGAACTACCCCCAAAAGCGGTAAAACACAAACTCTTAGTAACGCCTTCCATGGGGCTGGGAATCAGGACCAATAGTAAAAGGAATTCTAACAAGTTCTTCATTAAGTCTTTGACAAATTCTTGCATGACAATATCTAAGAATTTAGAAATTTCGTGAAGCCAAGCCATGTCGTCTTATTAAGCATGATTACTTATGGTGTTATATAATTTTCTCACACCCATCTCACAGAATCTGTGTTTGAGCCATAAAGATAAAAAAGGGAATAAAACAAATAACAAGTGAACTCACCAGAATCCTGCTTAAATTTCTATGGTATCAAATCCAATCAAGTTTATTTTGAGCAAACTGCTAATCTTCAAGTTACTAGTATCTATAAGACAATGAGGCTATATTTTTTTAATTTCTCAAATACTGGTATTTCAGAATTTGGAGGTATCTATCAAATGCAGTGAAATCTTTCATGTAGTATTAATTCCAAGGCTTAGGGCATTATTAAATTTAAAAGTTTATTATCCTTCACATTAATATAAGCAGAAAGCAAGAAAATAATCTATTCCTCTGTTCCTCTTTTGTAACGCTGAGGCCAGCTGCTTATCTTTAGCCTTAATTCCAGAGCTATTACTCTTTGATTATGTGATCAGAATAATACAGATCTAGAATTCTGATTGTACAATTAGAAAATAATAAGTATTTGAAAACAGACATATTTAAATGATCATTTACATGACATATAAAGTTTTACTCTTGTCAGATGCTCAAGAGACTCTGGAATGTGTAACAAATGTTTGAAAAACTGAACTGTTGTTTGACAGGTGGATGCCAAAAACAAGTGTGTGAAAACAGAGCTCTGAAGCATCTGTCAACAGACTTCATTTCTATGGGGAATTTTAATCTATGATTTATCACAGGCCTCTCAGAAGAAGGGCAGAGAAAGCATAGGAAAGGGATAAGCACATTTCTGTTATTCAGAAAATATTCTGTGTTTCTCAACAAAAAAAATGAGCAAGTAGCACCGGGCCCAGTAATACATGCTTTGGAACATTTTTTTTCTCACATGATATGTTACCGTCAGGAAAAATAAAAAAGCCTCAGAATAGAAGACACAATTCCTCAAGTGCTCAAGGACATCTGTCAGGTTAATAAAATAACTTCAGGCACTCGTAGGAAACCGACCGCCTGCCCTCTTCCCCTTTTCTTATCACTAGACTTGTTTCTACGGGAAGATTTGTGTCATTTAGGAGAAACAGCTAGGATGTGGCGAACACGCTGGCTGGTTTCCCCTGAGCAAAGTGAAGATCCCCGTTCTGGTGGTGGACACGGAAAACGAAGTGCAGGAACTGAGGATTCCTGCCATCGGCTGGGCGAAGTTCAGCTACTAAGGCTGAAGCTATTTTCTTCAGATTCTAGAATGATTTTAAGATGGAAACACGTTTTTCACAAAGTAAAACACTTCTCAAAAAAAAGAACTAAAGCTCAAAGTTGGAAGCAAAAACTTGGAAAGTTCTCATGTATAAACGGTTTCCTCATCCTTGAGCATTCTTCACACATTATGGATTCCCTGCCGATTATATATGCCTGTTCACCATCTGCCAGTTTATGACAATGTTTTCCTTTAAAATGTGAAAAAAGAACCCCAGACCCTTGATGTTACTGGGGAATCTCTGCTCGGCGGGGAGCCTGCTTCCTCCAATCTCTCTCTCTGCCTACTTGTGATTTCTGTCTGTCAAATAAATAAATAAAAATCTTAAAAAAAAATGTAAATAATATTTGCCTCATGGGTTCGTTAGTTCTCACCTCACTTTGCTCCGTGACACTGGCCACCACTTTCTTCCCCCAACACAGAGAGCCCACCCTCCCACTTTGCACTTCCTGTTCCCTCTGTCTGGAAGGCATATTCTCAGATGGGCTCTTTCTTGTCATTCAGGTCTCTGCTGAACTGTTACCTCTTCCCGAGGTCTTCCCTGACCACTCACTCAGGAGGACCTCCCAATGCTCCAGGGGGCTTGTCTTGCGCCTATTTGATTTCCTTCCTAGTGCTGAACACAATTGGGAATTGTCTTGTTTATGAATATGGTTGGAGCCTTCTAAAATGGCTTTCCCAAATCCCCATTTGCTGATATTCATGTCCTTGTGTCATCCCTCCGCCTGAGTGTGGACAGGACCTAAGGACTTGCTTCTAGCAAATGGAATACAGCAAAGTGACGGGACGTCACTTCTGAGCTTATGTTCTAAAAGACGTTAATTCCCACCCCCGCCCCCCAGCCACTTGCTTGCTCTGATGAAGCTGCCCAAATGGAGAGGTGGATGTGGCCAAACACTGAAGCAGCCAGTAGCCAACCACCAGCAAGAAACCACACCAATGGGCTTGGAAGCAAGTTCTCCCTCAGCGGAGCCTTAATGTGACTGCCGTCCTGGCCAGCACCCTGCCTGTGGCCCCTGAGAAACTGTGAGGCAGAAGTCCCAAGCTAAGCCACAGAAACCGTGAGGTAGTAAATGTTGTCACTAAATTCTGGGGTGCACCAATAAATAACTAATACATGATAATAATTAATACACAGATGTATTATTTATTTCCTCCTCTGGAGTGTCTGCACCCTGGCGAAAGGGACCATGCCTACCTTGTTCACTTGGGTATGTCCAGAGCAAAACACAAAATATGGCCCATGTGAGATGCTCGATTTCATTGAATGAGCAGACCAAGAGGTCACAGGCTACCTACAGAGTGTACCAGGGCTAATGAAATAAAAACATCATAAGTGATGTTGCGACTAATTAAATGTGAGGAGGGCTAGGAAAACAGAGAGATGCTGGGCAGACTCATCTTGAACTACGGAGTCCGTAGGCCCCTACTGTATGCAGACATATTGAACACGTAAGTTTGTCAGTGCACAAACTGAGGCAGAAGTTTGTGTTGGCTGTAGACTGTAAGTGGTAGCTTGGTATGGACACAAGGAGCGTGAAATGCCAGTATTTTGTCTAATAGGCACTTAGAAATAATTGTAGCCTTTGAAGTGAGAAAAACAGAATAGTGTGTATATCCCATTTTTTAAACACACACACACAAAAGTTTGGAAGGAAACATACCAAAATGTTAAGTGCTTCTTGGTGGGTGGTCGGATTATTATGATTTTCTTTTTTTTTCTTTTTTCCTTTTGATTAAGCATATTTTCTACAGAAAGGACAACCAACAACAGTATTTCTGCTTCAAAAGCAGGGAAATGATGGATTTAAAAATCAGTCTCATGTAAGTCACTAAAGATACAGAGATGAAGGTTATAACCCAGTGAGGAGAGGAGGGAGGACAGTGGTTGCTGAGGGCATCATCCCACCTCATTTTGAAAGCAAAACTTCTGGTTGGGTAGGAACACAAACATCTGGTCCTGGCTATCATGGTATGGCCACCGTCCACATTGCCGAGCTCACTCTGGCCCATCCTGACAGCCATTTTGCTCTGAAACATTTCTCCACCTGCCTCTCAAGTCCCTTTCCTGCTACCACACCAGCCTAGCCTTTATTTTTCTCACACCCACAGCTTTCACAGCCCCTGGAGGCGGCCTCACCTGCAACCCCTACAGAGAGGCTGCCCCCCCACCCCGCGTCATTCCCAGTGTCATTGCCAGTGTCCTTCCCTGCGACCTCCTCAGAGCAGCCTTCATGAGAAACCAGGGCCTTCAAGACAGCTCCCGCCTTTCTCCCAGCCCCCAGCAGAACCTGATTAGACTTCCACTTCCCATCAGGAAGCCAACATTTTACCACAGTGTTAACTACAACCTCTTTTTCAAAGTTCTACTTTGAATTAATCTGGCAATGACCCCTTTCATGGCTCCCAAGATTTTGGGCATTCAAGTTAGTAGGGTAAAGTGTTTGTTTGTTTGAAGAGCTCCTCAGTAGTTGACATACATTTGTGCCCATTACTAAAATTTACGTTTTTCTGAAATAAAAGCCACGTAGGGAGCACACACCGTTCTTTGGAACCAGGTCAGCCCCCTGGCCTGGCACAATGATGCCCATTCGCTATGGTCAGCGTCAGCACCCCCAACCCCAATATGGAAGCCTGGAGGGGTGGGTACTGGGCACCACAGGCATTTAGGCCCCTATACCCCCACCCCACCATGTCGGACCATGTGACCAGATCCCACCAATGGACTGTGAGAAGTGAAGCTGGGTGAGTTGCCCCTGGCCCGCGCAGGGGAGAGTGGGCTGAGTCGTCCCAGCGCTCTCTTGCAGGGTGGACATGAGGGAGTCCTCTTGTGGGGACAGCAGAGCAGCCTGAATGAGAGTCACACGAGAGGGCCTCTGACCTGCCGGGTCCTCTGAACACGCGCAGGGATCGGTTACTGCTGCCTATAACTCAGCCTGTCCCAACGAATACCAACTCAGTTCTGAAATGTTACCCATTTTGATGTAATGAAATTTTCTGAAGGAAAGCAGGAGGGCAAACAAGTAGTTACTTTGGCTTCTGCAGCACTGTGGATTGAGAACACGATGGACTGGGGAGCCTGGCCTGACCCAGGACTACTTGCACCTTTTCTTTTACTGTGGAATCGTAGCCTAAGGGGTCCCTTTCCACTCCGGTGGGGAAGCCCACTGAGCCTGAGGCCGCCCTGCTCAGTTCGTTTCTTCCATCATTTTCAAGATTTTAAGTAAGTTCTACATCTACAGGGAAGGCATACACATCCGATTGGCCAGATGAGGGGACACTGGGCAAAGTTTTCAATTACTAAATTACTAAATTTCTAAAGTAAGAGTTTCCTTTTATAAGTCATGAGTACATTCTACATCCATAAATAATACATTCTATTTTACTGACATCTTCTCGGTACTCTAGGAGGAGGATTAAATGGCTCAAATATCTAAGTCACACAGAAGTTATTCTGAAATGTTAATTTGAGTGTGTATAAGTATTATGTATATTTTAACAGTTGTATTTTAAAGGTAACTTTTATAATACTTGTCTAGTATTTCAGTTCATCATAATCAGACTGCCTTGCATTTTGTATATTAGCTATACAAGTATTTAAAGACAATCTTACGTGCCTTTAATCGTAGCCCACGTAATTACCACATACCTTACTTTATAGGATTTTTATTAGGGAATGCTTAGTGAAAGTTTCACTTTGCCTTTGCCTTAAAATTATATCCTTTTATAGCATGATGTAACTTTTAT